ATCTGTTTTTATTCCTTTTCATCTTCATTTTTAACTTCAGAAAACAGACAAGTTTCTCCCAAGGGAACAATTAAATGTGTTTTCTTTCAAAATCTAAAGGGCATGGTGAGCAGGCTGTGTGTTCAGCAGGCTACTTTAATCAATGGAACCTATCCAACCTACCACTGCTGACCAAATTGCAATTTACATCAGTAGAAAAAACTTTTGAAATGGGAAGTAGTGGGAAAATAATACCATTTTTGGCATAACACAGCATGCAGGGTGATACGTGGTTTAATGGTTTTCTAACAAGCTTTTGGAAAAAAGCTTTGAAACATAAAAAAAATAAAAAAGGCAATAAGACTGTAAAATTTCAAGGTCTGCTTGAACAGTGAAATCAATGTTAAATGTGCAGAACTTCTGAAGTCCACATAGCACTTATGTCTCATTTAAGCCTTATTACAAGGTTTTAAGAGAGGCTAGTCTTTGCAAGGCATTCTCCCTCCTCCCCTCCATGTTCAGGTCTTTCCTTACATATACATAAGAATTTGAGCCAGATAAAACCAGTAACATAGAAAAAAAATTTCTTTATTTTTTTTATTTTTTTTTTAAACTAAGGGCAACTTTATTTCAGTTAGAGAGGGTTTTTAGTTAATTTGTTTGTTTTAAAATCTGTTTAACACGAGTTTTATGAGCTTACCTGTCTTCTAATGTTAGAGATGCATATTTTTACATTCAATGAATAAAACAGAATGTGTTTTTTCTAGATGGCAGAAGAGACAAAGGATATCAGAACCATTAGGAAGAAAACTAATTATGTTACTCACTGGGAAATTTAGCATACCAGAAGTACCATTCTCCCTTTCAGGAGGAACAGATACAGTAAGAAAACCCAGTCTATTTCCCAGACAGAATAAGCCCCACAGATTGCTGAGGTTAACAGTTTCTTAGCTACTTAATTTCATAGTTATTCTTTGCAAGTCTTACAGGAATGTTTTAACATTATGCAAAGAGACAGTGCCTCTAACCAAGTATACATAGACTGTTCACTCCCATTGCCTGAGAGAGCCACAAAGAAGTAGAGGGAAAAAAAAGTGCTGCTGTGCTTATCATACATGAGCTCAGTTTATTTGTGCTATAAATAAAAGTAGATCTTGATAGCGTAATTACATTTCTCAGCATTATCCTCTGCCATTCACTTCAGAAAGAAAAAAAGAAAGGGGAGAAAAAGTTCACTTCACTATAATTTGTAACCAAAATGACTACACTTAAAACATAATTTTATTTCCCTGATTTCATTTCCTGTGGAGCTTTGTGGGGCAAATAGATAATATTATACCAAATCTGCAGGCAGATAATTCTCCCATACGTTGCACTGTCATTGTCTAGATCACTTTCCCCCCTCCCCATGCTTTCACCAAGACCATAAGGCTGTGTTTTGGATATGATATTTTATCGCTGAAGTATATATCAGCATCAGAAATCCCTGGGGTAAATCAATTTTTACTTTTTTCTACCTTCTCTCTCCTGCTCCCCCAAATTACTCTTCCTTGCCTGATTCACTTTTTATAATGCTAGGAGAAAAAAAACCCCAAACAAAACAAGGTGGTTTCCCACTATGAAGGATTAGCACAGATTATGGTGAACACTGTTAATTATAGGTGAGGAAAGAGAATAGTGCATCTCTCCAATCTGTTCTTGATTTCCCCCGTGTCTGTCTGTCTGGTAATAAGCCTCCTTTAATCTGGCTGTCCCCTTGGTGAAATCAGCGCCATGGACAGCAATATTGATTGCTTCTGAGAAACCATCACAGCTGCTCAACCAAATTACCTTTGATATGTGACCTTTAATGTAATTACTGCAACATCAAAGCATTTCTATAAATTATTAAAGAACTAATATACTTCATCATCCAGCTAGTCTATTATATGTAAAATAAACAATCACAACTAAACGCTAGAATTTGGATTGTCCAGCACTCACAAACTGCTCTTTACACACACATACATACTCTGCTACATTAACCTTCTGTTTTAGGCAAAACAATTTCAAGCTGTCCAAAAGAGCCTAATTCAGTCTTTCAGATGGAAACGATCCAACTGATAATTTTATGTTTTATATTCCATTCTAGTTGCTTCAAAATATCTGTCATGATTCCTTCCCGCCCAAAAACAAAGTGCCATAAAGACTTTATTAATCAACACATACCTGCTTGGAAGTCTTTTGATTATTCCACAAGATGAGTTTATGCCCCACATATAACACAGAAATATGTGAAACATATTTCTGTCATCTTACAAAGCACATCCAGAAAGTAATTACTGTAAAATATGTGCATGTAGCCACTCCACTAAAAACAAAGTGATACATAGCTAAGAGGCAAGGCGTCTGAATCTGGACAAAAACTCCTCATGCCTCACCATTTCCATACATTAACATTCATGTGAATATTATTTAAAATGACTCATTTCTGTGTTTTATAATACAAAGAACACAAACAGTAATATTACAAGAGCACAAAAATGTACTGTTATCTGGGGGATGGGAAAGAACGGCTTACTCTAGTACTATTTATTTTTTCCTTTTCCAGGCTTGTTAATTATTTTTGATATCTCCTCAGTGCTATTTGTGTCATAGGCAGTGGAGTCTCAAGAGAAGATGTTATATATGTGTCATTTGTGAACTCATGTGAATGAGGACTTAGACCCCTGACCTTAGAAGTGCTTTTTATTTTATGGTGATGAACTATGGTTGATATTGTTGGTGCATGTTATTAAGACAGACAGGTAAGTAATAAATAATTCCCTTCTACTCACATAGTAACTATAAAAGAGTATTCAGGCATGATAGTTTATCAAGAGACAAGACCGGTTTCCTTAAATAAACTACAGTGACATCATTCAGAAGATGAGTTCAGAAACTTGGCAGAAAGCTGCATGCAGAGGGCTTGCTGGTGGAAAGTAAACCTTTATCCTGAGACAAATAGAACTGGAAATGAAAGGGATGGGAGAATTCAATGTTCAGAACTCTCAAAAACCTGGTTGTTATTTTAAACAGAAGATTCACTGTTCCCAATTCAATCAGATCCTGATGTGTCTCCAGAAAGAGCAAAAGAAAACCAAAAAAAGGCCTCTCAAGTCAACATGGTGTATATGTAATAGAAACTACACAAACCAAAGAAGAAATTGTTTCCCCGTAGTCCAGAATCAGTCACTGTAGTCTCTGCAGGAAGTTTTGATTGTAAAGCAAAAGCTGGTTGAATTTTGCCACTGTCCAAGACGACAGTTTTGACTTTAGGACTTTTGTGATTTGAAGTCCCTAAAACACAGACTGAGATTCAGAACTGTGGACATAAAAAAGAACTAAAAAGGGAAAAAAAATCCTAAACATCACTTGCCCTCCCTCCACAACTCTGAGCCTTCAATCTCACTGTCTTCTCGAAGATATTCACATAATACAGTTTCAGGATGAGATTTTAGCCTCACAGAGAAGATAAGAGTTCCATGTGCAAGTAAGTTGTCTGGTTCCTAATGAGAAGAGCAAACAGTCTTAGTGGAAACATCTGGAATTTCAGTTCCTCTCTTTAAATACACGACATATGCCTATCTCTAGTTTTGATAAATACATATTTGATTTCAAACATATTTCAAAAAATTTCAGTTAAAATGTTTTCTTACTCACCATATTTTCATTTTTCAAACATCCGGTTCTATCATTCAGAAAAGACAGAACTAAAAAGAAAACATCATAGGGCGTAGGGGGAAGAAAAACCTAAAGCCCAACAAGACTAAAGTTACTTTCAATCTGCTGTGAACGAGTTTCTAGAAAAAAAAAATATTCAGAGGGAGTTGTCAGCTGACAGAAATATTTTTAGGGAATGAAGTACGTATATATTTACATAAGGTATGGCCTTTTAAGCAAAGATAGATGTAGATGAGCAAGTGCGTGGGTATCTTCATACTGGCAAGGTGGCTTAGAGATAGGTAAATAGACCCAGAGTGATGGCAACAAGCAGAGCAGAGTCAACACTTTCCTCAGCAACATAGAACAAGGGATGTGACTAAGGTCTGGTGGAAAGGTTATGGCTACACGGGTCTCAATCATTCAACACCAACTAATAAAGGTAGACTTTTGAATAGATTTCCTCTCATTTTAGATGCAACCTGGAATCCTCAGGATCCACCTCCTAATTACTTGATTGCTGACTTTTGTGTCACTGGGAAATCAGCCCTATTCTAGCTGCGGGAGTACTTGGCTTTTCCCAATCCACATATGCTGGTTGAATCTAAATAGTTTCTGTTTCTCTTTCTCCCCTCCTCCGGGTAACTGCTAAACTAGAAACCCATCCAGCAGGGCAGGTCTTCCCCACATAAAGCTGATTCTATTTTTAGTTTTGCTTGTGTTGTCTGAACCTTAGATCTTGCTCATGTGAATAATTTTCCTCATTATCCTGTGTTCGTCTTTCCTCTCTCTCTTTTCTCCTTGTCTCACTGCCTTTCCAATCTGCTACAGCTGCTTGAATACTAAAGTAACTGAGTCAAACCACTTTGTCATCGGGAATATGTTTTCATTCTGTGATAACTCAATAATGTGATCTGTTTCTTGATTTCTTGCAGCCACACCTTGCTTCAGGGAAGAAAAATAGTAAGAAGAAATACCTGGTGAGCACTTCGAACATTTCATTGTAGTGGTCATAGTCCTAA